CGCACACTCCCCATACCACTTCCTAACACCTTCTTCTCCAAATTACAATCGATTCTCTCCAGATTTTTATGGAACTCTAAAAAACCTATATGCATTACCAATCTCTTAATACACCCTTCTTCCAAAGGAGGCGCAGGCATTTAAAAAACCTACTATAATGCTACTCTTCTGGACCAAATATATTTTTGGTGGAACCCAACCAGAGAAAAAATCTTGTCTACAATTGAAACCTTACCCTTTCTTCCACTTAAACCCCCAAATTTGCTTCTAATTCCACCAATGTCACAAACAAATTACCAATTAAAGCATCCATGTATCCAAGCCGCCCTGCAAGCCTGGCACGATATTCTGACCATGGAATACACAGACCCCAAACGCATTATCACCCCAATTGACATATTACACTCCATTACACCCTCAATGGACCTATCCCAATGGGAAAATCGAAACATACACAAAATAACAAACCTCTATAAAGACCACACCCTACAACCATTTCAAAATCTCCAATCCACGTTCAATTTGCCATCCACTGAATACTTCACCTATTTAAGAATTGTCAAAAATCCCTAATACTGCCTACCTTTTCTTTACAAAACCACAATACCCAGGTAAAGGTATCTCCACTTTCTACAAATACATAACGAACCTGCAATTTGCTCTAAAATCTACCTCTTTATCCAACTGGGAAAAAACTCTTTCAGAAACAATTAAAACACATGCATGGAGCACAGCATTTAATACCACTTAAAAATCATCCCGCTGCAGCTCGCACTGGGAATCATATTTAAAAATCCTCCACCAATGGTACCTAACCCCGGTCAAACTTGCCATGTATTACCCGAAACACTCCTCCTCTTGCTGGCGGCAATACGGAGACATAGGTTTAACATTACACATATTATGGTCATGCAAATCAATTAAATCCTTTTGGAAAAGGGTCTTCCAACTACTCTATGAAATAACCCAAACAGTGATAACCCCAAACCCTTCACTCGCGCTTTTACACATTGGGATTGAAAAATTCCCTATACCTCTCGCACCACCATTGTCCACATACTTTTCGCAGCAAAAATCACTTTAACCAGATTATGGAACACCACTACTGCCCCTTTTCACAAATCACTAATTACAGATCTTAATTTCAAATGCAAAATGGGAAAAAAGACCGGCCCTCAACAACTCCACCCAATACAAATTCAATTCCCAATGGACTTGCTGGTGACAACATCCTAATTACTCAGTACAAGTCTGATTTCGTACAAACAATTGAACTAAACCCACCCATTTTAGACTGGTACTCTTCTCTCCACCCCACCTCTCCTCTCCCTACCCTCTTCCTGTTCCCCCCCTTTTTAACACCCTCTACCAAATCTTCAATAAAAACATATTGAAATAAAAAAATAAGAACCAAAGACAATGTCTATTCATGTTTTTAGGCATGGGGATAACATAGGATGCCAGCTAATTAAATGAACAGAATGAAATAAGATAGATCACCAAATAGCAATAATGTCCATGAATAAGGAAGGTACCACAGAAGCTTCCAGAAGACCATGAAGGATGTACAAGGGGCCAAGATTGGAACAGAGGGGCCATCTCCTTCAACTGAGGCTTAATTAGTATATCTGAAGATTAAAAGGAATCACCACATGGAGTCATTTTTTAACTGTTTATATGCTGAAGAAACTGATTAGGCACAAACAAGGCAGTTATAGCAATGACCCTACTGTATATACTGTGTTATATAGAATATACAGATCTTCAGGTAAATGCAATAATATTTTTAAGAAAGGAAGTTTTGCAGCAATGTGATGAAACACATTTACAGATCACCAGAGGAGCACTTCCATTGGAGTTGTGGTGGTATTACTAAATAACTGTGCGATCCACAGGTCCCTGAAGATAGCCAGTGAGAGACTGTTCCAGGAAGCTGGCAGAGGAGACATCCTGTAAAGAAAACCTACTCCTTCCCTCCTCGACAATACCTCTCCCTAATGTTGCTTCTATTCTTCCCAACCAGTAATGGCTCTGTAGTTTACTCCCACACTGCAGGTACATTGAATGATGCAGGATCCTACTATTTATAGGATCCTTAGTCAAGATGGTTGCCCAAATTTTGCGGGACTTTGATATGCAATAGAATTGCCATCATCCCCAAGAGGGCTGGCTAGATCCCATAGCAGGAGACAATTGTTCCTCTATAAGCTCCTGCAAGCCTGAAGAAATGGCACTGGGCCACCTTCCACCATATTTATTATTTTGTTTAAAATATGAGCCCATTCAGACACTTTGGGCAGGTAGTTTCCTTCAGGTTCTAAAAATTGGCAGAGTGGGGCCATTTAACATAGTGGTAGAATGTCCTCTCTGCATTCAAGACTGCTTTTCACTTTACATGATTATTTCCCAGTTGCCCAGAGTTCTCACAAGGGTAGTTTGTAGCTTTTCTAGCCCATAACAGGAACACAATAGATACATTGGGGCTTTGTATGTTGTTGTGTAACAGGATGGGTAATCAGCAGTGGCGTCCTGAGGGAGATGCGGGGGGTGCGCACCACACTGGGTGACACCTACCGCACGGGGTGACACCGGACCCGCTCCACAAAAAGGTAAGTTGTAAAGAAAGACAAAGATCCCCGCAGGATGGATCACTTGCCTAGCTACCTCATTAGGTGTGACCACTCTGAGATGCTGAGGGAGGGAAGCTTAGATACTTATCCTCTCTGGGTATGCCCAGGAGAAGATGTTAAAGGGACCTGTACCTGCATTTGAGCATGGTTAGTAAATGGGCACCCTGCTACATTAGTACATTGATATTTCTATGGTTTGTTCTGATTAATTGTTGATCCTGCACTGTATATAAACTGCTTCACACTGCATGTTTACTTTTATGTTTACCATCTCTAGGCAATATGACAGAGTTACTCAAATCTCATCTTCCTCTTGAGAAACATTTGTATCTTGATATACCTATGGTGGAAAAAGACTGAGAGACAAAGCTGTAGCATAATGTCAGTATTTCAGTTAGGCATTGCTATACATCTATCTACTGCTCACTGAATGCCAGTTTTGTGTGGACTATTCCTATTAAGAATAAGGCAAGCCATGGATTGCAGGAAAGAAAAATGCTTGATTCCTCCATCAGTGCTGTTGTGTTCTGCCGGTGGGGAGCCTTCCCTGCCAGCAGAACATAATAACCACTGCTGGTGGCTATAGCTGCTGGCAGTAATCACATTTAAAAAATCTGACAGGCTGGTTGCACTGAAGTTGATCGATGGATCGACTTCAGTACAACCAGTCAGCCCATAAATGAATCAAATCTCATCCAGTCCCGGCTAAACCGGTCAAGATTTCCTTTATCTAAGACCAGCTTAAGTATATTTTTGATATTCACTGTGTAGCTGTCGTGGAGCCACACAGTTTCTCCCTTTAGCTCTTACCCCTCATATAACACATACAAAGAAGGTTGGCTTTAATGCTCATACACCGCATATATGCATTGATGGGAGGCAGAGGTTCTGTGTTACATTAAAAAAAAATATAGTTACATAATCAGTCTGGCTGAAAAAAGACAAAAAGTCAACCAAAAAAAAAAAGTTATAATCCTACACCCACAGTTGATCCAGAGGAAGGCAAAAAAAAAACTTAGCAAAGCATGACCCAATTTTCTCCTGCAAGGGAAAACAATTCCTTCCTGATCCCCCGAGAGGCAATCAGATATTCCCTGGATCAACTTTACCTATAAATGGTAGTATTTAGTTATATTCTGTGTATCTAAGAAAGAATCCAGGCCTTTTTTAAAGCAATCCACTGAGCTGGCCAGAACCAACTCTTGAGGGAGTCTATTCCACATTTTCACAGCTCTCACTGTGAAGAAACCTTTCCGTGTTTGGAGATTACATTTCTTTTCCTCCAGACATAAAGAGTGCCCCCTTGTCCTCTGTGATGACCTCAGGGTGAATAACTCTACACCGAGTTCACTATATGAACCACTGATGTATTTATACATGGAGATCATATCCCCCTTATGTATTATACATGGAGATCATATCCCCCTTATGTATTATACATGGTGATCATATCCCCCCTTATGTATTATACATGGTGATCATATCCCCCCTTATGTATTATACATGGAGATCATACCCCCCCTTATGTATTATACATGGAAATCATATCCCTCCCTAATCTCCTCTTCTCAAGAGAGTGCCTGATTCAAACACAGTGGCCAAGCTGTCAAAAACAGCTCCAGTAATAATCTGGAGCCAGTCATGTGACCACTGTCAGCGAATCATAATGGTCACTTGATCAGGCAGTAATGACCCAGTTAAAGGGACACAGGGGCTAGGCTGGAGAGGGTTAAAATCTTCCCATCCAACGTGCATTGGGTTAAAATCTCCACTTATGTATGTGATACGCCTTTCCTCATCCAGTTATCTTGTTGACTGATAGTTTTATTTTATAAATTTTAGATAGGAAAAAAACTGAAAGTATTAGTTAAAAAAAACTATTTGCAGCATATTTATTTCAAAATACATATGGTGGCGTTATTTAAAGCAGTATTAAACCCAAAACCAAAAATGTAATATATATATATAATGTAATCCGGAGGACACAGTGGAATATCGATCGCTGTACGGGATCTTTGTGTGAGGTCCCGATTCATGTGATCCCTGATTGGCCAATCAGTGATCACATGAACAGTAGTAAATAAGATGTCACTTGCTGACATCATTGCTTACTACTTCTGAAATCTGTGAATGATCACAGAGGTCACATGGTACAAGGCTAGTCACAACAGCCTGTACCATGTGACAAGCTGTGACCAATCACAGCTCGCATAGTATTTCTCAATGGCTGCAAGAATGCAGCCAGAGAGAAAGAGAAATGATTGCTTTTACAGCCTTTATGGGTGTAAAAGCAATCAATGTAAAAAAAGAAGAAAAAATCTTCATCACCCCCCACAAATAGTATAGTGTCACTAGGGTGTCACTGTACTGCTAGGGTGACAGCATGGAAACAAAAAAAACATAAATAATAAAATAAAAAAATAAAATAAACGTGCAAAAAACATTGTTTTTTAAATTATAATGTTTGGTTATAAACTAATTTGTTTTTTGTTTTTTTTTACTAAAAAGATAGATGAATACGTTTTGGCCAAGGATTATGAAGAAAGATTATTTATTAGCAAACACTTTTTTTTTCAAAATGTGTGGACCTTTTCATTTATATAGCAAAAAAAAAAAAAAAATCCCAATAGTGAATAAATACCACCAAAATAAAGTTTTATCTGTTTCAAAAAAATACAAAAAAATTCATATGGGTACAGTGTTGCATGAGCATGCAAGTGTCATTCAAAGTGTGATAGCACTGAAAGCTGAAAATTGGCCTGGACTGGAAGGGGGTGAAAGTGTCCGGACTGGAAGGGGGGAAAAGTGTCCGGACGGGAAGGAGGGGAAAGTGTCCGGACTGGAAGGGGGGGAAAGTGTCCGGACTGGAAGTGGTTAAAGTGTATGTCCAGCCAAAAGAGTTTTTCTTAGTCTCGGATAGTGTGGAGAAGAGTTATCATCCCTGGTGGGATTTATTGCTATATAGCACTCTCTTACTAGCCATACACAGCTTTCATTTTATTTGATTTCTGCTGATGCGAAAGGACTGCCAAGTAACATGTAGCTCTACCCCTGAAGGGGCTGCTTGTATTAGCTGCTTCTTCCCCACAAGTACAGAGGCTGTCTGTCTCTACAAGCAATAGACCATTCACACTGGCTCCAATAACAGTCTAGGGCAGTGGTTCTCAACCTTTCTAACGCCGCGACCCCTTAATACAGTTCCTCATGTTGTGGTGACCCCCAACCATAAAATTATTTTCGTTGCTACTTCAGAACTGTAATTTTGCAGTGGGAGGAATAGTGCCCCATCATTGGTATCAGTGGGAGGACTAGCGCCCCATCATTGGTATCAGTGGGAGGAATAGTGTCCCATCGTTGGTATCAGTGGGAGGAATAGTGTCCCATCATTGGTATCAGTGGGAGGAATAGTGCCCCATCATTAGTATCAGTGGGAGGAATAGTGCCCCATCATTGGTATCAGTGGGAGGAATAGTGCCCCATCATTGGTATCAGTGAGGGGAATAGTGCCCATCATTGGTGTCAGTGGGAGGAATAGTGCCCCATCATTGGTATCAGTGGGAGGAATAGTGCCCCATCATTGGTATCAGTGGGAGGAATAGTGCCCCATCATTGGTATCAGTGGGAGGAATAGTGCCCCATCTTTGGTATCAGTGGGAGGACTAGCGCCCCATCACTGATGTCAGTGGGAGGAATAGTGCCCCATCATTGGTGTCAGTGGGAGGAATAGCGCCCCATCATTGGTATCAGTGGGAGGAATAGTGCCCCATCTTTGGTATCAGTGGGAGGAATATTGCCTCATCCTTGGCATCAGTGGGAGGAATAGTGCCCCATCATTGGTGTCAGTGGGAGGAATAGTGCCCCATCATTGGTGTCAGTGGGAGGAATAGTGCTCTATCATTGGTGTCAGTGGGAGGAATAGTGTCCCATCATTGGTGTCAGTGGGGGGAGGAATAGTGCCCCATCGTTGGTGTCAGTGGGGGGAGGAATAGTGCCCCATCGTTGGTGTCAGTGGGGGGAGGAATAGTGCCCCATCGTTGGTGTCAGTGGGGGGAGGAATAGTGCCCCATCGTTGGTGTCAGTGGGGGGAGGAATAGTGCCCCATCGTTGGTGTCAGTGGGGGGAGGAATAGTGCCCCATCGTTGGTGTCAGTGGGGGGAGGAATAGTGCCCCATCGTTGGTGTCAGTGGGGGGAGGAATAGTGCCTATCGTTGGTGTCAGTGGGGGGAGGAATAGTGCCTATCGTTGGTGTCAGTGGGGGGAGGAATAGTGCCTATCATTGGTGTCAGTAGGGGGAGGAATAGTGCCTATCATTGGTGCCAGTGGGAGGAATAGTGCCCCATCGTTGGTGTCAGTGGAAGGAATAGTGCCGCATCGTTGGTGTCAGTGGGGGGAGGAATAGTGCCGCATCGTTGGTGTCAGTGGGGGGAGGAATAGTGCCCCATCGTTGGTGTCAGTGGGGGGAGGAATAGTGCCCCATCGTTGGTGTCAGTGGGAGGAATAGTGCCCCATCGTTGGTGTCAGTGGGAGGAATAGTGCCCCATCGTTGGTGTCAGTGGGGGGAGGAATAGTGCCTATCATTGGTGTCAGTGGGGGGAGGAATAGTGCCCCATCGTTGGTGTCAGTGGGGGGAGGAATAGTGCCCCATCGTTGGTATTAGTGACACAAATGATGGGGCACTATTCCTCCCACTGACACCAGTGATACTTACCTTGCTGACCCCTGCTCCAGCCTGGGCTCGCTCTCTCCCTCTCCCATCTACAGCCTGCAGAAGCAAAATTTCCACTTACCTGTCAGCTGTCTTCCTTCTCTGGCCTCTCTCCTCTTCACTCGGTTCTGCAGCTCCCTCGATCTTCTTCGATCTGCGCGCTCTGCCGCTCGACTCCTCCTCTCCAAGCTCCACCTCCTCGCCGGTGATTGGCCGCCTGTGTGCCTCTCCTGAGCTACAGTTCCGGTGGCCAATCAGCGGCGAGGAGGCGGAGCTGTTGAGTGATCCCGGAGGTGTGGCCAGGTTACAGGGGCAGCATATCATCCCGCCCACAGATCGCGAGACAGAGCAGCGGTGTCTCGGTTCCTAAGACCATCGGAAATATGTTTTCTGATGGTCTTAGGCGACCCCTGGGAAATGGTCGTTCGACCTCCAAAGGGGTCGCGACCCCCAGGTTGAGAACCGCTGGTCTAGGGGGTGTCTTTTTTGAGTTTTATCGCTCAAAGAACATCAACTGAAGAGAGGGGATTTAGGCACGGGATAATCCAAAACACACCATACTTTAGAGGACAATCTTCTCTAGAGGTAGTAGCAAATATCGAACAGTCTAAGGCCCCACAGCTTAAGACAATGGGGCAAGTCTTTTGGCATCTGGTACCTTGGGCAGCTTCTAGGGCACTACCTAGTCACAGGGATAAGATCACTACTCACAAGTCCCTATGACAGCTGCCTTCTTCCAGCTTCCTCCGGTCATAGTCCAGTGAGTGAGATGGCACCTCCCAAGAGCAGATCCCATGTGGTGTGGTTCTGAAATCATCTCAGAGCAAAGTCCATTTCTGGCACTGTTGAGATCCTCAAGAGCAGCTGTTCACTCCACGGGCAGCCTGAGGGCAGCAGCCCGTCTGGTCTTGGAACCCTGCTAGGGAGAAAGAACCCTGCTCTCTAGTGTATCAAACTATTTTTCTCTATTTCAGACCCCTACTGGACACTCCTCCCCAGGGATTGGCTGGAACCTGATACTTTTTTTAGGCTGGTTGTTTTGAATCGCCCATCCTAAACTCTGGAAGCTTCTTTCAGAGGCAGGGGGGAGCAATTCAACTTTCAGGATATTATACCCCTGAGCAGGCCAGAACAAATGATCACTGCTCCCTTGATTACAGAAAGAGACAAAAACTACATTTGGCAAGCGTCCAACACTAGGCGGATCTTAGAAACAATAAAAACAAAACGAAACATGATTAGTACTTCCCCATTCTCTGCAAAAATAAAATAAAACTGTTTGGCTTTTCTAATTTCTAATTAATTGGTTACTTTTCTAAAAATTAGCCCTCAAATTATATTTATATATAATTAAATATATATATGTATATATATATTTAAATAAAACATATAAAAATATATATATATATATATACAGTTGCAAGAAAAAGTATGTGAACCCCTTGGGATTACGTGGAGTTTTGCATGAATTGGGCATAAAATGTGCTCTGAATGTCATCTAAGTCACAACAATAGAAGAACACAGTCTGCTAAACATAATACTACACAAACATTAGACGTTGCCGTGGTTTAATTGCACATAACATGTAAACATTCACAGTGCAGGGAGGAAAAAGTATGTGAACCTTTGGACTTAATAACTGGTTGACCCTCCTTTGGCAGCAATAACCTCAACCAAATGTTTCCTGTAGTTGCAGATCAGACCTGCACAACGATCTGGAGTAATTTTGGACCACTCCTCTTCACAAAACTGTTTCAGTGTAGCAATATTCTTGGGATGTCTGGTGTGAATCACTCTCTTAAGGTCATGCCACAGCATTTCAATCGGGTTGAGGTCAGGACTCTGACTGGGCCACTCTAGAAGGCGTATTCTGTGCTGTTGCAGCCATTGTTTTGTTGAATTACTTGTATGCTTTGGGTCATTGTCCTGTTGCATCACCCATCCTCTGCGGAGCTTCAGTCAGCGGACAGATGGTCGTATGTTTTCCTGCAAAATGTCTTGATAAACTCTGGAATTAATTTTCCCATCAATGACAACAATCCGTCCAGGCCCTGAGGCAGCAAAGCAGCCCCAAACCATGATGCTCCCTCCGCCATGTTTTACAGTGGGGATGAGGTTTTGATGTTGGTGTGCTGGGCCTTTTTTTCTCCACACATGGTGTTGTGTGTTCTTCCCAAACAACTCAATCTTGGTTTCATCTGTCCACAGTATATTTTGCCAGTAGTGCTGTGGAATATCCAGGTGCTCTTTTGCAAACTTCAAACGTGCTGCAATATTCTTTTTGGACAGCAATGGCTTCCTCCGTGGTGTCCTCCCATGTACTCCATTCTTGTTTAATGTTTTCCTTATTGTAAATGTGTCAACAAAAATGTTAGCATGTGCCAGAGATTTCTGTAGGTCTTTAGCTGACACTCTGGGATTCTTCTTTACCTCATGCAGCATTCTGCGCTGTGCTCTTGCAGTCATTTTTACAGGACGACCACGCCTAGGGAGAGTAGCAACAGTGCTAACCTTTCTCCATTTGTAGACAGTCTGTCTTACCGTGGACACATGAACATCAAGGCTTTTAGAGATACTTTTGTAACCCTTTCCAGCTTCATGCAAGTCAACAATTCCTGATCGTAGGTTTTCTGAGAGCTCTTTTCTGCGAGGCATGGTTCACATCAGACAGTGCTTCTTGAAACCAGTAAACCCAAAACAGGTGTGTGTTTTTTATGGGCAGGACAACTCAGCAGCCTGTGTCAGCAACACAGCCATTATCATCACACTGATTGGAGTCAAGGTTGGCTCACTCCTGGCTCCAATTAGCTCTGGGAGAAGTCATTAAGCTAGGGTCTCACATACTTTTTCCTCCGTGCACTGTGAATATTTACATGTTATGTGCAATTAAACCACGGCAACATCTAATGTTTGTGTAGTATTATGTTCAGCAGACTGTGTTCTTATATTGTTGTGACTTAGATGACGTTCAGAGCACATTTTATGCCCAATTCATGCAAAACTCCACGTAATCCCAAGGGGTTCACATACTTTTTCTTGCAACTGTATATACAAATAAATCCAGTGATTTAACAGACAAGTACCTACAAAT